ATAAAAGTCCCCAAAAATTTATTACTAGATGACCCAGAGTTAACTCTGTTTTCTTGCGAGAGTAAAGAAAAAGGGTCAGTCCTAACCTTTAATGGCCGACAAAATTTGTGAACGGATTATTTGTTTTGAAAAGTGTAAATTGAAACATAATAATTTATTTTTATTAAAAATTATTTTAACTTTTTATTTATAAAAAACAACTTTAATTAAAATAAATAATCTAGTTTCTTAATCAATTCAGATTAATTAAAGTTAGGGAAATAATGAAAAATTTGAAAATTATAAACTTTAAAAAAATAACACGTTTATGGGTAGCAAAAATATGTTCCATTTTTAAATGAAAAACAAAAAATACGTATAAATTAAAAAAAAGTAAGCAAACAAGGACAACTAACTTCAAACTCAGGGTGATGAAAATGGAAAATCAATTATTTTATTTAGGTAAATAAATTTTCAAAGATAATATCATTGAGCACCACTGTTAACTCTAGAGTTAACTCTGAGTGAATGCCGAAAACACCTCGGAAAACACCCATACTCTCCTACTACTAAATATCGTAGCTACCGCAAAATTGTTTTTTTGGAAGAGGTATTTATGGATCTGATGTTGGTGTCAAAAATTCATAAAGTTCAATAATCATCGGATTATCCTCAATCGTTTTTCGATTGAAATGTAGAAAATTTAAAAATTTAATTCTTCACAAAATTCTGACCATGTATGAATTCATTCTAACCTAATTTTGCTTGCTAAATATTTTGCAATATTCCAAGCAACTTCGTATTAATGCTCTATACACTGTGAGAAGAATTAAAGGGTGAGCACCCCACCAAACTCCTCTCAAAACATTTATGATATTTAAAATTTTAAAAAGTTTTCTATAAGAAAAAATGTAAAGTGGGAGTTAAAGATAAATTTGTAGTTAAGAATAATTCCAAAAAAGGTAACTTGTGTAGAAAGCAAAATGTCAGCTTAATTTATTCTGAGTTGAAGACTGGGATTTTATAAATTAATTTATTAAAAAGTAGTAATGTTGTTTTTTCATGGTAATGATACGAGACTGAGGTGTAGCACGTGTGTTTTGCTTGCTCCACAATATATTATAAATATTCTTTTTAAAATTATTTTTAGTAATAAAAGTGTGACATAAATGTGTGTTAAAAATAAGTGAATCATTAAGGATATTATTTACTATGACTGAGTTTCGATTAAATGAGTTTATTTAAACTTTTAAGTTTTCCACGTGCAGAAGTAGTAGCATTTCTAAAAATATTGAACTTCTGAAATACAGTGTTACTTTGTTTGTTATTTTGAGTCACATGGTCTGTAAAATTTGATTTGAACTTTTTGAAAAAACAATATTGCCTTATACACTTGTGCAAGTTTTTTAGTGCCTTAATTGTTTAATTCTTTTTCTAAAGACTTTATCAATGGTGTTACCATAATGCCAATTTGTACCGAGTGTCTCAAGCAAATTGTCAGATCGGAAGCAGAAGTTATATCATGTTGCAAATGTAATGTAATTGCACATTTGGCATGTGTTAATGTCAATATAACAAAGAAACATTTCGAAAAGCTGAAAAAGGGCAGTGAAAATTTTATTTGTTATAAGTGTAGAACGGCGTCTAACAATGCCATCTTGCAGCGGAGAGGTTCTATTACTGAACAACCCGAAAAACTTTTAAGTGGTAACGATAATCAAAGCACATCACCTACTGTTACTGCTTTATCGCCTGCTTTCCTAAAACAGGATATAGGGGGGGGGATAAGGGATATGGGGGATAATTCTAATAGAATTTCCTCCTTGCAAGATGAAACAGTTAAACAGTGCGAGTCGTTAAATCATTTGAAAATTGAAAATGAAAAACTTCGAGAAAAAACTGATACTCTTCAACGTAACCTGAATTTTCAAGAACAATAAGCGCTTCAAAACACTCTTGAAATACATGGAGTGCCAATAAAAGATAATGAAAATCTTTTTTCTATTTGTTGCGACATATTCAAAGCATTAGATTTAACCATGACGATTAATGATATTTCCAACGTCTATCGTTTGCAGAAAAAGAATGCTCATAATAACTCGGCTCGTCCTCCAATAATTATTGTAAAGTTATCAAGACAAATTTTACGTGATGCGATTATCAATAATCGCAAAATTAAATCCGACTTTACCACAGTTTCTATTGGTTGGCCTACAAGTGAAAAAAGCATTATACGTATTCGCGAATCACTTTCTACAATGAATCGTCGAATTTATTCTGCTGCATTCGAATTGAGAAAAAATGGTAAGATAAAATACCTTTGGATTGCGGGTGGAAAAATTTTTTACAAACGTGAGGAAGGATCACTTCGACTGCAATTATTTAATTTGGATGATGTTGAAAAGCTCAAATAACAGTGAAAGAAGAGAAACTTGCTTAAACTGTAACTTTTTTTTTTTTTTTTTTTGATACGATCAACTGGTATGCTGTATTGCTTTGGTTAAAAAAAGATTAGAATTTCTTTTTAATTTTTGATTAATATTACAATTCTATTTTGTTTTATTTATTCATTTATTTTATTTTTTTTATTTCCTTTTCTAAATATTGCACTTGTATACGATGTTAAAAAGCAAGGCTACCAATTGTTTGTTATTGTTATTTAGAGTTTTATTTTTGTTTTATCTTATAAATACCACAGTAGTTCTATGTAATGTATGTTACTTCTTATTTCCTTTGAATTTAAAAAAAGAAAAAAAAAGATTATTTTGATCTGCAATGATATATCACTTTTTTATAATTTGTCTTCGCATTCTCAAATTTATTTTGATATATTTTTTGTTTTTTTTACATTTATAAGAATAGATTATGTTATCATATGTTTGTAATCTCGGAGTCTGGTTTAATGCAAGTAAAAATAAAAAAAGAAAAATAAAAACAAAAAACAGTCTAAAAAAATTTGATGGTTTTCTAAGTTCTAAGAATGGATAGTTTATCTATATGCCACGTTAATGCTCAGTCATTACCTGCTCATTTTATGGAATTCAAAAATTTTTTTATAAATAACACTTATGATATAATTGCTGTTACAGAAACCTGGTTTCATCAAAACCTCGGTAATAATCTGTTTTCATTGGATAATCATATACTTTTTAGAAATGATAGAGGGAGGTATAGAGGCGGAGGAGTCTGCCTTTACATTCGAAAGGGTCTTGAATGCTCTCTAGTTGCTATGAGTAGTGAGGGAGTGTATCCGACTGCTGAGTACTTATTTATTAAAATTCAATCACCTTATGACAATATTCTTGTTGGAGTTGTTTACAAACCACCAAATGCTTCTTTTGGTACTGACTTAGAAGATGAAATTTTTAGTTTAATACCAAATTTTAATAATGTTGTTGTCATGGGTGATTTTAATTGTGATTAAATATTTCCTCGAGTATTACTAATTATCTTACATCTATGGTTTACTCAGCAGGTTTGAGTTTGGTCCCTCATAACTCAACTCACCACCTACTTCATTCTAGTACTAAAATTGACGCTATGTTTGTTACTGGCTTGGAGAGGGTGCTTGAACGTGGTCAACATGCTGTGTCTTTCTTGTCCAGTCATGACTTGATATATAAAATATGAATTCGAATTTGATAAGTCTAAACTAAATCAAGAACCTAATCTTTTCCATAATTTACGCAATATTAATAAAGATGACTTTTATCACATTTGTCTGGACATGACTGAGCAGGAATTTTTTCTGAACCTAATATTAATACAAAAGTGTATAAACTTACACTTTATCTAACCTCATCATTTGATGTGTTTGCCCCGCTCCATATGTCAAAAACAAAGAAGAGATATTCCCCATGGATGAACGATGATATACGAGCTCTAATCCGGAAAAGAAACAAACTTCGTAGTAAAGCTAGAAAAACCAAAAGAAGTTGACGGGTTTTTAGTGGGTCGGGGCTGGTAGTAGTTCGCCAGCTTATTTTGTTTATTGTTCTCCTTTTTTTTTACCAACCCCACATAACCTTGGCATGCGGAAGCCAAGGTATCTGTATACAGATTTTCCCAATAGTCCCTAAGCAACAAAAAAAAAAAGTCTCATAACATTTGGCATATTCTAAAAAAACTTAATTTAATTTCAACTAAAAAAAGTGCATCTGGCTATGGTTTCCCAGCTAACGAATTTGTAAATGTTTTTGCTCAAAAATCAATTATCTCTCCACAACCTACTTCTACTTCTGTGTCACATGTTTTAAATTCATTTGATGAAAATAATTTTTTCTTTTCTGATATTACTTATATAGACATATTAGAAACTTTGGCTCAAATTAAAACGAATGCTATAGGACCTGATTCAATTTCTATTGCAATGATTAAATTTTCCCTTCCTGTTATATTTCCTGTTCTCCTGCATATTTATAATTCTCTCTCCAAACTGGTAAATTCCCTGATATATGGAAAACTAGCATTATACGACCTATACCCAAAATTAAGAATCCAAAAACACCCAGTGACTTTAGAGCAATATCTATCATTTGTGCTTTGTCAAAGCCGCTAGAGAAGATAGTTTGTAAACAAGTTACTGCTTACTTATCTGATAATAAATTTTTTGAATTATTTCAATCTGGTTTTCGAGCAAAACATAGTACATGTACAGCAGCTTTAAAATTTACTACAGATATAAAATTGGCAATGGACCAAAAGTATATTACTATTGCTGTATTTTTTGATTTCTCAAAAGCCTTTCCATCAGTACACCATGGGCTGCTGTTGAATAAGTTAAGGTCCTTTAACTTGTCAAAATCTGTATGTGACTGGTTTGGGTCTTATGTTGACTCCCGATTTCAGAAAGTTATTGATGAAAGTGGTGTTTTCTCAGATTGGGATAGACTGGAGTGTGGTGTCCCTCAAGGTGCGGCCCTTTCCTCTCTTCTCTTTAATATTTTTGTTACTAATCTTGGTAAAAACCTTCAATTTTTATATTCGAAAGCATATAATTTTTAAAATATTTATCTTTTTAGGTAATGAAGGACTGGAGCGACTTAGAAGAGAGATATCAGGATATTCGAGCTCGAGATCCAATTAAAGCAGATGAGTTCAAAAGATGGATGACAACTAAGTTTCAGGAAACTGTTGCAGCCTTAGAAGCAAGTGGAACTGCTGAAAAGCACCAATTAAGTGCTTTACATCAACAACGAGTTCAGGTATTTTTTTATTAACGTACTTCTGTTGCTTATTTCCTGAAGGATTTCTATCTCAAAAGAGAGTTATAAGAAGTAGAACTCTCACTTGCGCAACATTAAAGATCGCCGAAATATTAAGTGTTTTACAGGGAAAAAAGAGACGTTTGCTTTTCACTGAACGGTCAATACGTCGAACGGACAAAATATCGAATCGCAAATACGTCGCATGGACAAAATATCGAAATACGTCGAACAGACAAAATATCGAAAAGCCAAAACATCGACGTATTGGCTTTTCGACATTTTGTCAGTTCGACGTATTGGCTTTTCGACATTTTGTCCATTTGACGTATTTGCTTTTCGACATTTTGTCTGTTCGACGTCTTTGCTGTTCGATATTTTGTCCATTCGACGTATTTCCGATTCGATATTTTGTCCGTTCGACAACTTGCCATTCGACATTTTGTCTGTTCGACGTATTAACCGTTCGGTGAAAAGCAAGCGTCTCGGGAAAAAAATTTACGACGTGGATTAACTATTTTTGGAATATAATTAGTATGATGAACGACACATCCAACGCTGTTAATTAAGTTTCACCGCAATCGACGAATGTTTAGCTGAGTTCGATAAAGTAACATCGTAACATTACTACTTTCTACTAAACTAAACGCTAGGGATTTAACGCACGACCCTAACATTCGCAAGCCGACAACTTAACCATCTAACCGCGCACGCACGCTATGATGGCTTGCATGATATTTGAGGACATTCTTTCAACTACACAAATTGTAAAAGTAACTAGAAATTGAGTTTTTTTCGATTATTGTAAGTGAGAAATGAAACACCAAATCACTTGTTTGGCAACGTTTCCGTGTCTTGGTTTGACACCATCATCAGGCCACTTTATTGAACAAAATTAAAACAAATTAATCACTCACAAACTACATAAAACTTTTTATAACAAAACATTAAAATTATAAAATTCTTATTTTTATATAAATAAAAAAACAATTACCTAGTTAAATTAAATTAGTTACATTAGTAACAAGTCAAATTGTATGACAAAAATAAAAACAAATTTTGAAGGCAAGATATCACCCATCGTAAAGCAAGTTAAAAACTGAAATAAGAAGGTGACAATTTATACTATATATACTACACGTGGAGTCAATGAACTCGAAACAAAACAAAAGAGACAAAATAAAAGAAACAAAATCATTCTTTCAATTTCCATAATAGAGGGAAATAAGTATTGCTAAGAAATTGAATGTCTTCCTTTTTATTAATTGTCAAACCAAGACACCGAAACGTTGCCAAACAAGTGATTTGGTGTTTCATTTCTCACTTCCAATAATCGAAAAAAACTCAATTTCTAATACAAAATAATGGAAGAAAAAAATATTTAATATTATAAAAATAACTATTTTAAACACTTATTTTAATTACACAAAACAGTAAGTCTAATGGTTTTACTGCATCTAAGAAGAAATGGTTTCTTTAATTACATAAATTATAAAAATAACTATTTTCAACACTTATTTTAACTACATGAAAACAGTAAATTAAATTTTTTTCTGCAACTAATAAGAAATGTTTCTTTCATCTACAAAATCTTAAAAATAACAATTTCTAACAGTAGATTTAAATATTAAAATGTTGTAAAACCATTTAAAATCACATGACAGTTATTTCAACTACAAATATTAGCAACTAGCAAAATTACACGCGCGCAAGCGCGCGTCTAACTTTGAATGCAATGGTTGTTTTAAAATAATAATAATATTAATAATAATAATAATTCTGCATCAGTGGAGTATTAAATTGATAATAGGTATATTTCTAATTTTCACGTTATCACTTATTTATACACAGAAAAAAATGAGTTTGATGTTATATAAATAGTGATTTTTTAGTTAAGCCAGCTCATAATTAGTTAATACAGCAAAAATAATTTAGCTAAGTTAATTTTTAAATTTAATAAACTTATAAAACTATTAGTTCGATTGTTGACGGTAACAACAATGAAAACCCAAGAAAAAACCTATCGAAAAAGTGATGATAAGAAAAACATAAATTAAAACTAATAGTTATAATTGGCGGTGTAAATGTTGATAAATCAATTCTAGTATCGCCAACATAACCGCCGCCACTTGAAATGCCGAGAAAAATTAATTATGTTGTGACAATTATGATTAAAATATTCTTTGTCACTTATATACGAAATATCATATACGAAAATAAATATACGAAAATATATATACTTGTATACGAAAAGGCAGAGATTGTTGGGATAAAAGATATTACTGACGAATGGATTTTCTTATTGACAGAATGTATATAACGAGTAAGATCATTTTTTTATGAATTGATAGTAAAAAAATAAGATTGTTAAGTAAAGATTTTAAAATATAAATATTAAAATTTAAGAAACAAATATTTTAAAAAAATAGTTTTGCTAAATATTTTTTTGTATTTTCTATAAATATTTCGTTGCAAATGAAAATTTTAAATTTATGTTTTTTTCAAAAAATTTAATTTATTGATAATTAATAAATATTAAAAAATTATGTAATCAAAAAGAAAATTAAATTAACTGAAAATTATTAATTATATTTTAAAAAGTATTAAGCAATTAAAACATATTTAAAAATTTCGAAAAAATTAAACCTAAAAAAAACTTTGTAATGTTTTAAACTTAAATTAAAAATTTAAATCATATTGAAAATTTTTTAAAAAGCAAACTATTTTTATATTGTTTACAGATAAAAAAATATAACAATTTAATAATAAATAATAAAAAAAAATTAATAATAGGGGGGAGTGGTCCTATGTCGGCCCTGTGGGTAAAGTCGGCCCCCCGGGTTTCTCAGAGCTGGCATTCGCGTCGAATTAATAATTTTGTGGTGTGACATATTAATAAACACTAAAATAATTATTTTAGTGTATGTAAAAAAAGAGTTTGTTTAAAATTATTAATTCGACGCGAACGCCAGCTCTGAGAAACCCGGGGGGGGGCCGACTTTACCCACAGGGCCGAAATAGGACCACTCTCCCCTAATAAATTCATGAATAATAATATATAATAAATAATAATGAATAATGAAAAAAAATAAAAGAAATAATAATTATAAGTTAAAATGTTCTAATTATCTGTAATAATCATTATATTTAAAAAAATGTATATAATATAATAAATTTATTAATAATAATAAAAATTATATTATAATTGAAACTTTTTTTTCTATAAATACCAAGTAGGAAATATACTGGTGCTGCACACAATGAACAATATTTTTTTTTACTTTAAACTGTCACTTAGTACATGACTTAATTAAGGACGATGAATAAAAATATCCGTCGCGTTAACCATAAAATATTACGAAATCAAGAATTGTCAAAATTTTAGAAAAACAAAAGGAACAAAATACGACTAATTTCAAGTGTGGACAGACGGAATGAATGAATGAATAAATACGGAAATTATTATAGTTAATTTTAACTAAGTGAAATTGACTACTAAAATTTAGTACCACCAACTGTCTGAGTTTAGTTTAAATGGTTCTGAATATGGTACTTTTAACTGCTTTTTTTAACTACACATTTTCAGTCATTTTTACCAATGCTATTTTTTTGTGTGTAATCATATTAAAAATATTTTAATTGAAATTTATTTTTATATTATAAAATTATTACTTTTCTTCATTGCAATGAAAAATATGTGATACAAATAATCAAATTTATATAAACATTTATTTGAAAAAAATTATTATTATTTGAGTTCAATAGTTATTAGATCCCTGGCGGATTGGGAAAACCGAGTAGTAACCGAATTGGGTTACGATTCAGTTACGTTTCGGTTCATTGTGAAATATTATCGTTAATCGACGAAATATGTAATAAATAACTATTAGGAATGGTTAATATACATTTAGAGTGCTTATTTATGCAATAATAATAATAAATTAAGATATAATTAATTAATAATAAGTGTTTTAAGTGTACAGTGCATACAGTTGTTGAATTATCATATATATATGTATATTACCATCAGCGGCAGCTGTGATACGCGCGTTAAACCCTAGATGGCGTTAAGGATAACTTTGTGAATAAATTTCTAAAATTAAGCTCTTGAGTATCAAATGTGTAAGTGAATATATAAGTTTTAAAAAAATAGATCAATTTATTAAAACAACTTTTTTGATTTGTACAAATATAAAAAAAAAATTTTATAATGAACAAAAATTTTTTTAATGAGAAAAAGGTTTTTTTTGTGTGAGAGAAAAATTAATTTGGACACAAAAAAAAATTTTCTCATTAAAAAAATTTTTGTTCGTTATAAAAATTTTTTTTTATATTTGTACAAATCAAAAAAGTTGTTTTAATAAATTGATCTATTTTTTTAAAACTTATATATTTACTTACACATTTGATACTCAAGAGCTTAATTTTAGAAATTCATTCACAAAGTCATCCTTAACGCCATCTAGGGTTTAACGCGCGTATCACAGCTGCCGTTGATGGTAATATACATATATATGGTAATTCAACAACTGTATGCACTGTACACTTAAAACACTTATTATTAATTAATTATATCTTAATTTTTTATTATTATTATTGCATAAATAAGCACTCTAAATGTATATTAACCATTCCTAATAGTTATTTACTACATATTTCGTCGATTAACGATAATATTTCACAATGAACCGAAACGTAACCCAATTCGGTTACAACTCGGTTTTCCCAATCCGCCAGGGAAACTAATTATTTTTAATTGTTAAAACAAATTTTATAAACAATTTTAATGATTTCAGTTCCTTATTACGAAATTGATGACATATTGATTGAAATGTACAATATTATTAATCAAGATAAACGATTAAAACTTGCTTTAATTAATTTTTACACACAGCATTGCTTAAACAACCCTTAAGGGGTTAGTCTGGTGTTTCGATGCCTTTTTAGGAGCTTATTTCAGGATTTTTTTTTATTATGAAATAAAATATAATCACACCAAA